AGCAATGTGCTTGCCTCCTTCCCTCCCACATCTGCCCAGTTCAGCCAGGCCTTTGAAATGCACGGACAAGGCCTCCACGGTTAAACCTTCTCCAGATGGGTCAGGAGACTGGAAAGCAATCTCCCTCAATATCTAGCTTGGGCTGGTAGGAAGAAGGCCAGACTTGAGGCTGATGGCTCAGGTTCCAGGCTCAAACTACCAGCCTTGGTCTGTGACCTTGGTTAAATCACTCTATACTCTGAGCACCAGTGTCTTTCTTTTTTTTTTAAGAGTTTAAGCTGAAAGTTTATTAATGAAGCAGTGAGACAGAGAATGGGCTACTCCACAGACAAAGCAGCCGGAGTACCAGTGTCTTGACCTGAAAAATGATGATAGTTATCTCATAAGTCTCCTGCACGGATTCAGTAAAACACCTATGAAAGTAGGACCCTGTGCTGGGTTTAATTTTCTTCTGTAGCTATTTTGAAATTCTTAATTTTTGAAGGAGGAGCTCTGCATTTTCATTTTGTGCCGGACCTTGTAAATTATGTAGCTGGTCTTATCTATGCCCTTGGCCAAGTCATTTAAAACCTCTACGGCTCCACAGTCTATAATGATTTAAATTAAATTGTTAGGACAATTCTCAATCCTTCCTCTACCTATTAGCAAAATTTGACACAGTCAAGCTTTCCCTCCTCGAAACATTTTTCTACCGGGCTTCCAGGACACGACACTTTTCCGGTTTTCCTCTGCCTCACTGGCTGCCCTTTGCTGTTTTCTCCCTAATCTATTAGCACATCCAGAACGAAACACACTTCTGACATCCCAGTCTTTTTCATCTGTTCATGGCAACTCCACCCTCCCAGTTGCTCAGACCAAAACCCTTGTCATAGTTTTTGACTCTACCTCTCACTCCATATCCAATTTGTAAGCTGCTCCGGAACCTGACCGTGTCACCACCGGCACAGTCCACGTCTCTCACCCGGACTGCTACAAAACCTGACTCATCTCCCTGCTTCCACCTCCCCCCTGTGCCCCGTGTCTGTTCTCTGCACAGTGGCCAGACTAATCCTTTAAAAATATAAGCCAGGTTGCATCGCTCCTCTGTTCAAAGCCACCCCATGACTATGCGTCTCAACTAGAGGGGACATCCCCGCGGGAGGTACAAAGCCAGCTCTGTGAGCCCCCTCCACATCTCAGGCCATTTGTCCCTGCCCCCCTGCCTGGAATGCGCTCCCACAGATCAGTCTGCTGGCCCCTCACCGCCTTCAGTTCTACTCAGCTGTCCCCCGTCAGTCAAGCCTCCCCCAGTCACCTGATTTAAAATAGCAACCACCATCAACTCCCCCCTCACTCTCCATCCTGTCATTCCCTGCTCCCTTTTCTCCAAAGCACTCATCACCGTCTGAGATGTGTGATATTTAACTTATTTGCATATTGTTTATCTCTTCCCATTAGACTGTAGGCTCTGTATGGACAGGGACTTTGTCTTTTAACTGCTGTGTCTCCAGCACATAGGACAGTGCCAGTGAATGATGGTAGAAAGCTCTGGAACGGATGCTGTGATTACTGTCATTAGGTTACAATCATATCAGCCCCCTGCATGTATAAGGTACTTTCACAGGCCGCGTGCCCAGGAAACAGGTCCTGCATACAGGGTGAGGGTGTGATTGTGGGCCAGGCCTCCCACTAGACTAAACTGTGGAGACAGAAAGGCAAGTCTAAGAGTTTGTGGCCTAGAGGGAGGTTTCATATATTTATGCAAATAACTCTAGAACAAGGCAGCACCTGTTAAAAATATCCAGCCTTTAATGCCTGACATCTCACATTCTGGCAGTGACACCAGAGTTTTCTACGGAGTGGAGGGACAATGAACTATGGCTCGTGAACTTTCTGTGTGGCTATTTCTGTCCCAGGCGAGTTCCTGCTCTGGCCTGCTTATCACACCAGGGACACCTTGCCTGACTTCCAATCGAGTTTGCTCCAAAGTCCCTCCTCCACTGGCCCCTCCACCCAATACTGCCCCCCAATTAACTGTTAACTTGAGACCCCACCCTCTTGTAGTCCCTGCACATTCTGCTTCTAGATACAGGGAACGTGAGGCAGAGGTGGGACCAACTTAGGAAGGTTGCAATAGGGAATAAATAACCGAAGTAATTCCTTATGATACAGGTATACGTCTCTATGAGCCTGCAGTCCACAGGACTCATGGGCTGCATCTGTTCATCTCTGTGGCTTGACAGCCTTGCTTAGTACGTGGCACAGAGTGGGCATCCAGTGAGGTTTGCTGGGTCGCTGAGTGGGTGTTACAGGCTCTGAGTCAGGATAATCCTGGTTAAGTAGTACTTTGGCATCTTCCACAAGGTGCCCCAGAGGTATTCTGTGAGGCTATTTGATTGAGCTGTCATAAGAAACAAGCTAACCAGTAAGAATTAAAACATCTCAAATAAAGGGACCAATGTTTTTTATTTATTTATTTATTTATTTATTTATTTATTTATTTATTTATTTACTTATTTATATATCTTTATTGATTTCAGAGAGAGGAAAGGAGAAGGGGAGAGAGAGATAGAAACATCAATGATGAGAGAGTCATTGATTGGCTGCAGCCCACAACCCGGGCCTGTGCCCTGACCGGGAATCGAACCCCAATCGGCTGGATCCTAGGTCGATGCTCAACCGCTGAGCCACGCCCGGCTGGGCTAAAGGGACCAATATTTAAAATGCAAGTTTAAATTATAAAATGCTACTGTTTTATAATTTTCAAAGTTTCTTTTAATTTGCATTTGATTTCTTTAACCCCTCTATCTGAAAATCCAAAACCGATCAAGAGATAAGTTACAAAGCATGCCTTCCATTCCCTACAGGATTCCTTTGAATAGGGACTCCCGGAGCTTATCTGAATGTTTGGAGAGAGATTTGTAAGAAAAAATGAGTAACTGAGAAACTTAAAGCTAAAGCATTAGGATCTGCTCATTAGAAACCATGTTAAATTTTGGCGGGGGCTACTTGTGTGTGTGTTATGTAATTCTCAGTACTTTTCAGTGTGTATGGTCACATCACACATACATTTTCATACCCAGGCAAGACCAAGCATAAGAAGACAGCCCATCTTACAATCAGCAATAAGAAAATTTGGGACAGGTAAATCCTTCCTTAGTTCCCAGTTTCTTTGAATATAACGTAGGGGAAGGGACTAGATGGTTCCAGGGGCCCTTCCAGTTCTAATGCCCTAAAAGTCTCTGGAAGTAGGAGCACCTATTCACATTATAAAGGATCCCTTTCAAAGTTTCCGTTTCTTAAGTGCATTTAAACTATGGCTCGGTTTTCCAAAATCTGGTTACTGTATTTTTTTTTAATCCTCACCTGAGGATATTTACCACTGATTTTTAGAGAGAGTGGAAGTGAGGGAGAGAGAGAAAAAGAGAGAGAGAGAGAAACACTGATATGATAGACACATTGGTTGGTTGCCTCCGGAATATGCCCTGTTGGGGGCCCAGGATCGAACCTGCAACCCAGGTATGTGCCCTTGACCAGTAATCAAACCTGAGACCCTTCAGTGCATGGGCCAGCGCTCTCACCACTGAGCCACAGTGGCCTGGGCTGGTTACTGTATTTTTATTATTAATAAAAACATCCAACAACTAAGCAAATTCAACATGCCAGGCACATAAAATGCCTCATATGGATTATTTGATTCAGTCATCCCAACAACCCCATGAGGTAGACGATGAAGTGTCCCCACGTAGTAGAGATGTAAAGTGGCTCCATAACTAACTTGCTTGAGGTCACTGAATTAGGGAATGTGGCAACACTGGAATTTACTATGTTTTATTTTTTTAGAGTTAAAAAAAGTTATTGATTGATTTTAGAGGGAGAAACAATCATCCATTTGTTGTTCCACTTATTTATTCCTTCACTGGTTGATTCTTGCATGTGCCCTGACCGGGGATGGAACCCACAACCTTGGTGTATGGGGATGGCGCTCTAACCAGCGGAGCTGCCCAGCCAGGGCACAACGCTGGAATTTAAACTCTCTTTAAGTCAGTCTGTGACTCCAGAACACAGCCCTGCATCTCCCAGGCTGGCTGCAGGTATCAGGAGGTGTTCAGTGTTGCTTCCTTAGATGAAAAACTGTGGTTCTCTGTGCCTTTTGCCTTCATAAATGGGGTGGCCAATCGGAGATGGGGTGGTTCCTTTGTCTTCAGCTTTCTTCTGTGAAATACAGTGGTGATATTTTCATTAGGAAATGTTTTTTGACTTCCCTGGATGAGTAACAGTACGTTTCATTCATTATCTTGAGTCACTTGTGGATGATGGGGGTCCCAGAATTCCTGTGGGGTGCTTTGAATTCCTGTTTTGGTTCTTTATGTCTATTATCTACATAGCCTATAACAGCATATACGGCAAGACTACATTCGTTTGCAGCATATTAAGGAGGAAAAAAATGCCACATGCAAAAAAAAAAAAAAATACAAGATTATTTTCACTTCTGTATGGCACTCTTCACAATTTTCACATTTATTTTTTTCACTTTCACAAGAGCTGTATGAGGTGCGTGAGTCATGAATTACATTTACCCACTTTGCAAATAAGGAAAGAGCCACAGAAAGGGATGGGTGACTCGGTCTAGGACATGGACCTGGTTAGATCCTAGACCCACTGTTCTTTCTACACTTCGCCACCCCCGTATGTAAAACAGACTCTCAGGCTCGGCGCTTCTTGGCAGACAGAGGGGGATGGCTGCTGTCCTGGGGGCTGTGCCAGGCCGGGCTGGCCCTGGGCTCCGGGGACCCAGCAGCCGCGCTGGGGGGGAGGGGGGCCAGCAGCCGGCCCTGCTCACACCTGTGCCCCGTGATAACGACAGGAGACGCAGCCAGCCCTGTGGGCCACCCCGATAAAACTTTAGGCGGGAAGTCAAGTGACAAGTGAACTGTGCATATGTGTGTGTTGTTTTAAACTGTTAATTGCTTTTGATATTTTTTAAAAAGCAGCTTGAGGAAGTCAGACCAAATAGCAGGGAGCTATTGCAGCAAGATGGATTTGGGAAGGAACCAATCTCACCTGACACCCCATCAGAAAACTGATTCTCATCAAGAGAAGAACCGCGTGCCAGGTAATGGAAGAGGCTGTGGCTGCTGGGAAGAATTGGGGCTATGATTAGTTTCCTCTTTTTTATGGATCTGGCCAAAAACGGGCAAGACTGAGTACATTCTTATAATCACAGGTGGGAAGAATCGGGGTTGTATATCTTCCTGAAGTGACTTCTAGTGCTAAGATTCTAATAAGCCAGAGAAGCACAAGGAAATATTAAGTAAATTATTAATAAGAATACATTTAAATGAAAGATGGTGAAAATACCCAATACTGGATGGTTGTGGTAAAACAGCCCTTATACCTCTACGTAGTGTAAATTTGGTGGAGCTTTTGGATAGATACAGCAATAGGTAGCCAGAACATGGGGGGGCTTATTCTTTTGGTTCACTAGTTTTACTCAGTGGGTCTGTCCTAAAGCAGCATTTCTCAAAATGTTTTGCAGAATCCTAGGCCTTGAGACAGTGTTTTTTAAACATTTTTGTGCCATAGGTCCCATTGGTATTTTGATGAAACCCTAGATTTCTTCTTAGAGTAAATATTTTAAATACATAAAAGTAAATACATAGGCTTGCAAAGGAAACAAGATGCAGTTGTTGAAAATGAAAAACTGGGATATTGTAGCATATGTGCTTACTTATAGATGCATGAAATAACAAGATCCAATGGTGGGCCTAATAATGATTGTATGAAATCAAATTTATTCTCTCAAGTAAATGATATTTTAAGGTATCTGGAACAACTGTAATGTGATGTGAAAAAAATCTGTAATTTCTTTTGGTGACAAAGTCACATACTGCTAAAACTACCGTGGTTTGTTACCTACATTCATAATTGAAGGAAATGGTCATTTTAATTAGAGATTGGTAAAAATAAAGGTATAATTTTTCCCCATCCAAGTTCATCATTAATGACTTCTGTGCTAAGAACAAAAGGAAAGGAGCACGCTCTATCTTTTGGGGGTCCCAGTGCAAAATTGCATCACTCCACAGGTTTGGAGAAATTCCACATCAAAGACCCATTAACTTTTCTCAAACTTGGATGGCAACAAAACCTTTCTTATGACACCTTTAATATTCCAAAGAACTTGGAGAAACACCATCCTGTGGGAAAAATCCAAAAGAAGAAAAGAAAGCTATATGCATGAGTATGCTTATAATAGTTTGATTTACAATGGCAAAAAAATAACTGGCAACTCCCTAAATGTTCAGTGCAAGTAGAACGACTGGGTAAATGAAAATGCATCAACCTGAGGAAGCGCCATGCAGTCATTAAAGCTGCAATTATGATCACCAGATCATGGAAAATATTTCTGATAAAATGTTAGGTTAATAAATGATAAAATCGTGCTATGCTCTCATTACAATTGTGTGTAATATAGGAACTGGATGGGTGTGAGGAACCAAATGAAAGCAAGTTATAATGTTAAGGATGGCAGAGCATGGCTGATTTTTTTTCTTTTATTTTATGCTTGTACAATATGTAAAAATTATTATGAAGAAATTAGTAGGTTGGTAGCATAGTTACATACAAATACTGACCTTTTCATTTTTCAAGGTGTACTGTTTGCTCCCAGGCATTCTTTGGAGGTACAAGGAGAAATAAGGTAGAGCCTGGTCCTCAAAAAGCTAGAAGGTGGACACCCAGCATAGGGCTTCTACCACTTTGCTGCGGACCTCTTGCTGATAAATGTCACAGTCCATCACTATCTCCTATAACTTTCATTTTGATCCTACAGAAGTCATTGGAACTTGGAGTCTGCGAAACAGAGAACAACTCAGGAAAAGAAAAGCTGAAGCACAAGAAAAGCAGACTTCACAATGGCAATTTGGGTATGTATCCTTGCAAGGGAAAAAAGAGCTGACATTTATCCAGCAAATGTTATGTGCCAAGTACTGCCTGGCACTTTCACGCAGTGTGTTTTATCATTCCAACAATTCTGCAAATTGAAAGCTCTTATCCCTCCTTATTTACCAAAAAAAAAAAAAAAAAAAAAAAAAAAAAAAAAAAAAAAAAAAAAAAAAAAAAAAAAA